GCAATAAAGTACAATTCAACGCATGTCTTCACATCGTTCTGCTACGACTAATCATATTAGAATAGGACTCAACTCTTATTTCATAATCAAAGGACCAACATTTCAACAGAATTGCAATTCCTCTACTGAATACCTCATAAGAATCTATTAGAATAAAGCTAACAAAAACTTTCACGACAATTTTGGTGCACGAGATGAGGTATTCAGCAATATTTTACTAGATTCACAATGATTGACCTAGTACTACTAAATCCTGAATCCCCAAAACGACAGCTTCAAGAATACAAGAAGCGCAACATTTGGATCTAACACTAATCAATTACAATCTTCTATCAACAGTCGAACTAAGGGAACAATGTGAATCTAAGAAAAGAGCACTGAGGAAAAAAATCGAATATTTCGAACTCTATATTGGAATGTTCGAATCCGTCAATCAACAATAGTTGGATCGCATGAAGGATTTATCGGCTGCAAACAAAGAACGAGAAGAAGAAAAGTACTTCGCAATCATCATTTAGGAAGGTATTTTTGGTCTTATAACTACTTCAAAGAGGAACGTCTCAACTTTGAAATTACATATTAAGGATGTCGAGACCATACTTAATGAAATGGTTGGGGAGGAAAGAAGAGATGAAATAATACCACGCACATAATCCATGGTAGCGCCTTTGCTTATCGTTAACCTTCCACAACTACCATTAGCAACTTTCGATAGTGATCTTAAAAGCTGGAGACAATTCTGGAGTAGTTTCGAAGCTGCAGTGCACAATCAAAACATCCCAGACATTCGGAAATTGAATTATCCTGATATCAAGAGGGATGCAATTATTAGCTGTAAAAGGATTTGACATTGTGCCAGAAAACTATTCTGTTGTAAGAATAAGGCATTTTATTATGAGTTAAGCTCTATGAAAGGAAGCGATAAAGAATGGAAGACAACTATTGATGGAGAGAGGATCCTAAGACAGTTAGAAGCCTTAGGTGACAATCTGGAACATCCAAGTATCGAAAATACCGTGGAAAGTAAGTTGCCTGACTAGACATTAGATCGAGTATTTCAAGCTGAGGCACAGGTAGAAAGATGGTCTACACACCAATTTAGAAAATTATTGTTGGAATAGTTGCAAGAAATAACGAAGTCGATAGAACTCAAGCAGCGACAGCAAGAATATTATAAATGTTCATATAAATGATCAAGAGTGGCATAAAAAAATTTTAATATTACAATTGGTCAAGTGTTTATAGATATATTTTATGTATACATATATATTCATAGATGTAATATTACTCTATCTTAACACATGTTCATATGCGTCAATTATAATGTTCCCGTTCAAACTAATAGCACAGTCAAATGATTCATTTTATACTTGCATATTCGTCCCCGTCCCTGCCTCCAATTATTGTACTACACGATCTCTTCTACCCTCCAACCTTGACCCACGTTATAATACACACATATACTTTGCCTATATAAGACATCAAATCTTGATGCATTCATTCATTCGTTTTTTTCGGTTATGCGTTTTGGTTTATTTCTGCACCTATTTCATGTATTAATATTGCGTTTTTATTATTGCTATGGGTTTAATTACCCAAGTTTGAATGGGTTTCACTCGCAATAAAGTACAATTCAACGCATGTCTTCACATCGTTCTTCTGCTACGACCAGTCACATTAGAATAGGGCTCAACTCTTATTTCATAATCAAAGGACCAACATTTCACAACACAGAGTTGCAATCCCTCTACTGAATACCTTATAAGAATCTATTAGAATAAAGCTAACAAAAACTTTCACGATGCAAACATTGGGTTGACATTCAAGATTGATATTAAGAAGAGTTTTTTGAATTATTAACAAAAGCAGAGTAATTCATATCCCAATTTGAGAATTTTGTAACACGTCTCTTATATTAAGTACTATGTGGTTTTCAGCTTTTGGATTATGTGAGAGAAATTATCGAAAAAATAAAACTAAGCACAGTAAGCCAAAGAAGAAAGATATAAAATGACGCCACTTCCTTATTTAATAAAGAAAGCAAATAAGGGCAACCACTATGAATCAAGCTAATTGACCTCAATTTCCACCTTTCTGTACTTCGGCTTAGGCTTATTAGCGAACAACATATCGCGTGAATAGTAAAAATCACGATTTACCCAATGCCCATAGACTTCAAATACAACAGCTTCGGATTCGCGTCGAATCTAAATTTACTTTTAGTGGGTAAGCAGTTGTACACTTCATTATTCTACGAAAATTTTCAGTCCGAAATTTAAAAAAAATTCGAGGAATGCTATTTTGAGCACAAATAGAAACTCCTTCCCTCTCCCCACAAAAAAAAGAATATGCAGAAGGAAAGCTTATAAGTAAAGAGCTACTCCGACATTTCAAATTATTTTTTCAAAATAACAGTAATACTTACATCACGATCACGAAATGGACGTTCTCTCAGTATATCATGATCAATCAGTAGTTTCAAGACTTTGATATTCGTTAGACGCACGAAAAACCGTGCCATTGTAATACCGTATTTCCAAAGTTTCTTGTAATCTCGTTTTTCCACAATAAGTTGTTGCTGTAACACACTCTTCTGAAAAATAACAATTTTTCTAAATACAGTTTTGAAATATAATTAAAACTTCAAAAAACAATCGCAAATTGATTATATTCTTTTGTTTTTGATACTATATCGCAAATTTTTATTTCCCGTGAATATTCATAATATAATAAACTAATAATCCATAATAAACGACGAAGAATCAAATATCTGGAAACAACACTTTGGAAGAGTGTGTTACAAATAATGCATGATAATAAACTGAAGTTTTTATCATAATCATGAAATTGTGGCACATTTATCAGGTCATTTCGCAATGAACATTGAAACAAACCTTTAGCGTTACAGCAGCAGTTTTCATCCATGGATGATGTAAACATTGGGCTGCTGTTAAACGTTGATGAATATCAACTACTAGTAAATGGCTGATCTAAAAAGTTTTTTGTTTTGCAAGACGATCACAAGAAAGAAGGATTATGCTTGACACAGTATTAATCAAAAGATTCAGAAATCCTCCCAAGATTCTAGAAGTTAAGAAATCTCCAAAAACCGGAAACTTTTAAAAACTTTACTGACTTATATCCCGTTCAACAAATAGATACAAAACTAACCAAATCTTTAGCATCGGAAGTGATTTGAGACCACTGATCTGCTCGAAATTCATATTTCGCTTCCTGTATCATACGAAGCATCATTAGCTGTCGTCGATGGTAGAAAGGTGCACAACCAGCAAGCCTTAAATAGTAAAAACTCTCAATTAAATCAAAATTTACTCTATCTATTTCTCTCTGGACTTGTAAGACCATTCCGATGCTTTGTCTTATTGTAAGAAAGGAAATACTGAATTACTAACGAATTAAAATTAAGAATAAATGACAAGGAACTTAAAAGGTATATAAAATAACACCAAGCGCCCAGTCATCCACTTCAACACTGTATCCATCTTCATCCTCGTACATCTGACATTTCAGCATTTCAGGCGCTAAATAACCAGGCGTTCCCAATAATTCTGAAAACTTATACTTGCAAAGTTGGAAACTGTCTTTACAAGAAATTGATTTGTTTCGCAATCCCATTTAACTTTTCTTTCATTAACATCCAATAAGGTAATTTTTCAGAAACCAGTACGAGATATAAAATAACCTTTCAATTTCTGTCCTGGTTGTAACTGAGTAGCGAAGCCAAAATCGCTAATCACAATTCTTTCGTCATCAATACAAAGAATATTTTCCAACTAAAATATCTTCAAAAAAAAAACCTGTTTGAAAACTTGACAAAACATGAACCATCGAAAATAAGCAAATGTCCCAAAATGTGAGGATGAAACTTTTATCAAACAAGTGATTGTAAAGCAAGAAATATAAGTGACCTTGATATCTCTATGTACAATATTTTTGTCGTGCATATAAGCAACACCGTCAAAAAGCTGTTGCATCAGGCGTCTTGCTTTTTTCTCACTAACCGTTACTGACTTATTGAGAACATCGAATAGTTCACCCTTTGGAGCCCTGAAAAAAAAAACGAATTCTCAGAAAGGTCATAAAACTAAGCAAACAAAAAATAGCATATCTTCACACAACTATCGAGATGACAATTCATTAAGGAACCATCGAAATAACTGGGTATGAATAAAAAAAATTTTTTTTGACGAAAAAGCAAAATACTTTATTATGAAAAAAATAAGGTCAGTTTCGGAACATCAACATCAAATGTGTGAATTCAAATTAAGAGTTAAAAACATAATTGCCATGATACACTTGACTTGCAAGCTCGTAGAGGAATCACTCTTTACAACGAAATTACAATCGCTAGAAACCATTTAATGAAATTGTTAACTCAAGGATCTGATCCAATATGACTTTCTTCTTGAACCGAATTAAGCTGCTCTTTAAGGAACCATATATTATTTCTCAAAAACAAATTAGTAATCTAACTTCATTCGAGATAAATTTGATCACCTATTCTTTTCAAATAAGAATGAACTTACATTTCAAAAACAGCGAAAAGAAATGCCGGTGTTTCGTAGAAGTCATGTATATTAACTGAAAGCAGCAATCGGAAAAAACTAAGATCGAGGAATTTGTGTTATATAAATTAATATTTAAGACATCTTTAATTCGAATTAAACACCATTTCCTAAAAATCATATATACAAACTTGAAAAAACACGAGATAAAATGCAACTTAACTCAGTAGACTTATTATTTCTCGTCTAAAACCTAATATTTACCTAGAAAAAATTCCTTTGAGAGCAAAAGAATTTTCTATTAAATTTAGTTTTTGTGTTGAAGAAAAATAAGAAACAAATAGGTAAAAATCATGAAAACTCACTAATTGAAGGGTGATCTGAAAGTTTTCGTAGTAAATTCACTTCACTAATTGTTTCATTATACAGTCGACGAGCTTCCGCTTCTGATTGCCGCTCCGTACTGATATCAACAATTTTTACTGCAAATTCCAAACCTGTTCCCTTTTCAATACAGAGTCGAACAGTTGATGCTAATCCATATCCCAATATCTTCAAAAATAATTTTCTTCTGCTAAACAAATTTAAAAGGATGACTAAAAGTATATTACGAGCTTGGATTAAATGGAAGTTAACATTACTGCCTCTTTAGGAAAATAAGCATTAAGGCAAATAATGCTGCCATCATGAAATATTAATGTTTTTAGCTTCACATTAAGTAGTTCACAGGGATAAATTTTCAGAGATGACTGCTCCTTTTTGTTCCATCAACTTTTGAAACAACATACATCTTTTACTTCGAAGGCTTTATAGAAATCGGATGCTGAAGTCTCGAGTGCCTCAGATTGATCCGTTTCATCTGCAATAACATCAACTTATTTTAGTAGCTTGTCATGATTATCTTAAATAAAATTCTAACAATTTTTTTAGTACTTCAAACACACTTTGATTCTACTACAAATCTATTTGTTTCACGCGAAACAGAGGAAAAGATTTTGACAAAAAACAAACCCCCAGTATCCAAGTCATCATCCAAGTCGACATAATCAGTCATAGTCAAACGTTTCCGCTCTCAAGCGTTTCCTCTATACTTCTCAGTAAAGCAAGAGCTCAACTGAAATAGAAATAAACCACTTTGTCCCAACAATCCACGTAAAAAACATCATCCCTTCATATTTGTTTCCACTGTCACTGTGGAAATAGCAAGAATATGCAGTAAGTTTTCATTTTCCACTTTATGATGCTGATTGCTCCACCGATTAGTTTTTCATTTTTTTATCTCTCCAGTAAAAAAATTAAAAGTTGCAGATTGAGAGGAAATTCAGTGTTCAATCAGAACTAAAATCTAAGTTATATAATTAAGTTAACATATAAGTCGCCACATTATTGAACTAATCCACTGATCATATCCATTATAGCTTTGAGTTGCGAAACCTAGATGAAATAACCCGTGAGAATAATTGATGGTATAAAAACTTTAAGTCCTCAGTCCTCAGCATTAGTTTACAAATCAAATATAATTCATTCATACAAGGAACTGAACTTTAACAAAAAATGGACTTATCACATTTAAAAAGAAAAATAAAACACAAATAAAAGTACGACATGTCCTTGAACATTCCGGTTAACAATCTCGCGCAGCAACAGCAACAGATTTATTTTTGAATTCGCAGATATCAATATAAAAAAAGTAAAACAGATTACAGAGGAATTTTAGACAACTTTCTTTTATTACAACGACAAATAAAATTGTATTTCGAAGTCCAAATTTTGGGATTCTGTTAGGACCTCAAATTTACCTAGTGGGTTTGCTGTTCTAGTTTCTAGAACAGCAAACCCACTAGCCGTCAACTTATTTCCTTTTCTCTTTCATTTTTTTTCAAATCCAGAAAAGATCTAGAAATTCCAAAGCTCATGTGCTAACATTTTATAGAAACAAATTACTCACCCGTAGAAAAAGATAAGATACTTGTAGTCAATCAGTCACGGATCATTCCCTAGCAAATTTTACTATCAGTCATAGCAACATTTTTTCAACATTCTCAGAATTATTCATGAAAAAAGATTAAACTACGCACGCTATCAAATAAGTAAAGCCTTATTTAACCTACATATTTATAAGCTGATCTAACTGGATCTCTGCTGGATTGTAAAATTTTCGGCAGAAAAAGGCTGTTGCGAAATCTTGGATGAAAACACGAAAAAAGCTATAGTGATAAGCATTTGCGTATACGTTATGGACAGTAATGAGTGAACTGAGAAGAAATAATTGAAGTCTTTTCATTCCCACTCCTGTCTTGGGTTTCTCAAGATAGTTTTTCAATTTTCATTTCTGAAGGAAAGCAGAGAAGAAAAGAATGATTTTTTCATCCTGCATTCTAATTGAAATTACTAAAAACAAACGTTTTCGAAAACAGTTGAGCAAATGTAGAATTGAAGAAAGGAAAAAAAGTGGAATTATACAATACAACAGTTATGATAGACAATAATTTTAAATGTCGAGAAAACAATCCATAGTCACGAAGACGAACGTTTACTGGATGAATTTACTCTGCAGGTCTAACATAATCGTCCGCAACTGCACAAGTTTATATACCTAACAAAATTATGTGAACAATTTTTCAAAAGAATACCTTTCGAATACACTTCAGAAGTTACATATGTTTCAATAAGAGACTAAATTTAGAAATAACATACCGGAATCAGTCTAATATATGGAACATTTATAAGCTTTAGATGAACTCCAAAATGATATTTCGCCACTTTGCATCACTCATTTTTCCACTTTTTCATGATTAACCATCAATACAAACGCGATAATTTTTAAACGGGGAGAAAACTTCTGCACATGTGACATTTAACGCTCATCACAAACAAACGATAAAGCATTAAGTTCTAAAAATATTGCGCTGTTTATGAAATCAACAGCTTTGATTGAAACCAACTGTAGAAGATAATCTAAAAGTGACACTATCAAAAAATTGTAATATATCAGATCCATATACGAAATGTATTTTGCCTTCAATATGTACTCTAATTATGGCAAAAAAAATGAGGTAAGCAGCAATAAGGCATAATACAGTAAAATTTACAAAATTTCCTTCAAACTATGCCTTCCTAAATTTGTTTCTCTAATAAAAAACTGAAAGCTTACAATTACAAAAATTAGGAAATGTAGAGATCGATCAAAAAAAGATGATCGTGCTTCCTTATAATTCCACCACTAACTTTCTCAAAATTACCACATTATTCAAAACCATAAAGAGTGCGATATTTGAAGAACAAAGAAATGAATAAATGTAACGAGCTAAATAAAGCAGTATTAATGGTAAAGTTAACAGCTTACATTAATTAAATTTCACATTAAACAATCGTAGATCAAACATAAAAAATGTCATGAATATAAGCAAACAAGGCTAGCAAATATACAGCTAAAATATTTCTTGAATAATATCGCTTTGTTTCTAAAATAGCTTGATTGCTTTATAAACAAAACTATGCGTCATATTTTACCATAACAATCAAGGAAGAAATAAAACATGACTAGGATGTATTAAATTCATCAGCCAGATACTTGGACACTTCTCATTCCTGGAGTTTCCTTACGGATTTGCTTAGAAAGCATTTACTCATTGCATTGAAATATATTAATTGACATTCTTCCTTAGATTTACAAAACCGTAAATTGTGAACTCTTAACAAAAATTTGGGCAGAATGAGAGCGAGAAAATCCATATCACTTGCAAAACAGAAATATCATTATCAAATAAAAATTTTTTGGATGCAATATAGATATTAACAAAGAAAACAATTTATCTATTCCTAAAACTGCTTAATATTACAGTTTTCTTTTTCTTGCGCACCTAAATTAACGCCGCCGCCAAACAATGTCGCGTCTTTGAATAAATGATGGCAGCGCTTCGTTAATTGCGCCATCTGCAAATTTTTAGTATAATAAATCAATTCAGTTCAAAACCTTCGTCGAAATTCAAAAGAATTTCATAAGACATAATTTTTAATTTAGATAAATATGACAAGATTAAATAGCACAGTTTTCTTATTTCTTATAAAATACTTTTTGAAATTTTTATATTTAAATTTTATCTTTAGTAGATATCAAAATCATTACAATACATCATGTAGGTTCATGCTACTAAAATTATGGGTGTAAATTATATCGTTCCCCATTACAATGATACTTTACCCCACTATTTTAGAATAAATCCCATTTCTTGTTCGCGTTAATTTTTGAATAAAAAAAAATAAAATATTTTACTGGATAAATGATAGCTCTTCAATGACATAAATAATATCCCAACAACATAAATTAAGGATATAAAATAAAGGCAGGACCGATGTGATTGTTGCCAATTATGGTTCAAATGCGGTTTCTGTGTTAATAAACGTAATTTCAAATAGGTTTCGATCTTTGGCCCAATTTTTAAACAAAATCGGTTTTTCAAGATTTAAGAATATTTTTGGAATGAAGCACAAACCTCGCTAGCAGACCAATTTCCATATTTTCCATATAAAATCCCGTTGTATAACATTTCAATATTTTTCAGCGTCACCCCAGTCAATTTATCATCATCTAGAGAACACATCAACCAGTTCTTCGTTACATCAGCACAATTCAGGTCCAAAAATATACTGACTTCAGCAACTAAAAAAATATTCATAAACGCAGATATTGAAAATAGTAGCCATGCTGTTCATAAAATCATCAAAATCGCTGATGAAAAATATATTCATAAAAATACGCTTTTATGCGTATAACGTAATGAGAAATTGCATATAATGCAGTGGAAAATTAGAATTAAAAAACAATAATGAATACCAGCAAGTCGATGAGGGAATGAACTGATATTGGCACTTTTGAAGGCAGTATTGAATTCAGAGGCTGATTTCGTGTTTGGGAATAATGCGTTGGTTAGTTCGGCAGCTAACTCTTTGACTGTTCCTTCCAGTTGCGCCTTCTCATCTGTAGTAAAAAAAAAATAAGTAAAAGACAAATGTGCGGATTACGGGTCAAGTTTATCGCTTCGGATCGACAAAGTTTTCGTTACCAAAAGTTCATTTATTCATTGATCATTGACATTCACTCATCTTCTAGTACTCATTTTTCTACTAGATAACTTACTTGTTCACTGAATAAAAGAAAAAATATATTTTACATTCATTTTTTAATTGTTGATGAAGACATCATAATTTAGGGATAAAATTAAGTATACAAAAGTTAGTTATGCACTTGTGCACTATTATGTACAGAGATATGAAAAAAAATCAATTTCAATGGGTCTGAATAAGGTAAAAAAAAACTCACAATAATGCAAATATTTGGCAGCTGCAACATGAAGATCTGGATTATTCGGCTCCAATTTTGTTGCTTTGTTTAAACATTTTAACATAAGTAGTACCTGAAAAGCAAACTGGTAATATATGTATACTATGCAAAACCTTATGTTAATATGAATTTCATTTTTAAATATTGTCTTTTCTACTAAAGAGACTACTTGTTGCTGTGAGTATAAGATGTGAATTTGCGAAGCATCGTAAAGTGAGGAAATATGATATGAAGCAAGTTTCGTATTTTACAGTTTTTAAAAAAAAATTCAATAATCGCATATAATGAAAATAATACCCATGCAGTTCCATAAAATCATCAAAATCATTGATGAAAAACATATTCTTTTACTTTTTTTAGCTAATAAAAATATGCTTTTATGCATATAACGTAGTGGAAATTTGCGTATAATGCAGTGGAAAATTAGAATTAAAAAATAATAATGAATACTAGCAAGTCGATGAGGGAATGAACTGATATTGGCACTTTTCAAAATATAGTTTTTTTAAAAAAACTGCAGTTTAAGATATCACTAGAATTAATGTATGATAATGTGTGATGATCACAAAATTGAAAGATTATACACACCAATTTAAATACATAAACATTCGGAAATTATTGCTGTTTCAAGGATTCGTATCAACTCATAAAATCGCATACTTTCTTCTTCCTATAGTAAACTTCGAAACCAAGAATATACGATCCAAATTGCTCGCTGTTCAGCTGAAGAAGTGGTTGAACAAATTTACTCGCCTCCTCTAGAGGATCATCCACTTTTAGAAGTTTCTCCGCATCAAGAGGTTCCGGTGCGAAGCCATCTATTTCGACATCACCCTAAATAACTTCAATATTTTAATATTCGCTCTAAAGATATATTTAATCCGTGTCCGATAAAAAAGTTATTCATAAAAAAGCGGTCGTAAAAATGAGTTATATACATTTAATCGCCTTGTCTTAGAAATTATTTACTTTTAGAAATTTCTCGTTAAAAAATAACTTAGTACTTTAACATTATTTCCGCATATGTTATGTAATGTTTTCTTCTTAAAAAAAGAAAACAATAAATGATAAGCATATTAGTAGTGATAAAGTAACTGGAAAAACATTTATTAGGATAGATATCACATTCTTTTGAAGTAATAATATATATTATACTATTAGTGTTTTCATTGCATATAATTTCTCTAATAAATTGCACTTCTTGACTTGTTTTCACAAACGGAGAAGTCAATAAGCAACACTAAAATCTTGAATTTTAAATCCTGATCATTAGAAAATCTCAATGCTCATACCTTCTTCGCATTCGTCTGTTTCTGCTTAGCAGCAGCCTCAAGTGCCTCCTTAGCCTTTTCCTTCTTTTGCTTCTTTTTCAATTTTTTTAGCTCCGAAGCTGATAAATTAACTTCACCATTATGCTTGTCAGGAGTGAAATCATTAGGATGATCATACATTCGGAGATATATCTGAAAATTTTGTACTAATTCTAAATAAAAAGGACGCAGCAGATGTAATGATAAGAAACATACAGTGATCGCAATTTTGGCAGCTTCATAATAAAATTTGTGTCGTCGCAGAACATCTTCTAGCCTCAGCAATCCAATGTAAGAACAAAGTGTCATTTTACGAATACAATAAGTGTGGAAATCGAACTGGTCTTCAATAATGCCCACAAAGTGCTACAATTAATAAAGATGCGTTAGAAAAAACTGTAAAGCGATATCATAAGGGATCAAGGAGTAAATAATCAACGAATAGCAAATCAAGAAAGAATATGTAGACATTAAATAAGCTCAGAATGATCTAGAACTGCCTTCGATAACACAAAGATAATCTGAACCATTTCAAACCATTAAGCATATGCTTTTGCAAACGACATTTTGTACGAAAACCTAAAAGCTTTAATTGTTATATAAAGACAATAAAAACCAATAACCAATAATGATAAGAAACAAACCCTTTCAACTTCATGACATTTTTTCAATGCCTCACCATAATTTGCTAACCGCTGATGTGCTTTAGCGCATTCGATTTCATACCACATGCATTGCATTTCATTTAAATTTGCTGATGCATTAACACCTTCTCTTGTAAATTTCGAACACATATTTTCTGCCTCCTTGATAAGACCAGCTCGAAGCATGTATTTGGCACATTTACTATTCACATATCGGTCCGCCGTATCCAACGACTGAGCTTGCTCCATCAAGCTTGCACCTTCATATGCATCACCAGCGTGCTGCAATAATAATGCGATGAACAACATTTCGTTTGCCACCACAGTCACAAAATTTATTATAAAACAAACTTAATAAGATTCGAAAGAGCTATATAAATCCTTGTTACTGTTATTAATGATAATCCACTGATAGAACAACATGTGCATATACAACTAACAGAAGCAACATCGAGCAAACCTTATGGATTTTTGCCTTTATCATATAGAGTTCGATCAATGTTGGTGTATGTTGTATTGCTCTATCAATATATACAAGCGCCTGTTGAACTGATCCTAATTTGTCATAATGTTGAGCTAACAAATAATACAACCATAATACTGTGGTTGGTGATTCCGGAAGAGGATTATCTACAAAATCTTTAAATTATTTGACATTTAAGAAAATTCAAAATTACAATCTACTATAAGCTTAAAGCACAACATAAGCAAAACCGAAACTAACTATCCAAAGATCCTTTTTTATACCCGTTTTCTCCTAATCGCTTAACGAACTCGATGAGTGTGCATTCCAAAAATTGAACCTGAAAACACAAGGAATTTAAAAATTTTTAGTTTTTTTAATATAATAAGTAAATACAAAGCAGAGAAAAAAATTCAAAAGATAATTTAAGTAATTAGTGCACCATATTATTCACAGTGTTCAAAATTTGGACAGTCCAAGTAAAATTAATCATAGTTTAAAATTAATAAAATCTAGTGAATACGCTTCTTAAGAAAAAATATATAATTTTGAGAATATTCAAACTTGAAGAATTCTGCATGACACATTTCCAGAAGCTATCATTATCATTTCACACATCGACAATCATGGACATTTTTAAAAGTACAATAAACACAGTGAAAGGAAAATCAAAAATCAAGATAAAATTCTTATATCCAACCTTATCGGTGTCTACGTACAACGGAATAAGATATTTGAAAAGTGAAGGCACGCCTTTTCGAAGACCAGCTATCAAATAATTGAATAATAGGCTTTCAAATTGGGCACCTGAAATGCGTATTTACATTAAAGCCAAATATCACAACATCTGAAATATGATTTAAAGTACCTTCAGTTACAAAATATAATGTAAAAAATACCATGGAGAAAATAAAGAGGAACTCTTTTCGGAGTGGCTGCATGAGAATTCATTGAAACAGCTTTTTTATACACTTCATAACGTCCATCAACATCGCTTTCCGCTGCAGAATTCATAAATTAATGCATGCACATTCAAAAATGTCGCCAAAAAAGTTGAATCATGAATATAAAGAAAAAACTAATACCCAGGCCCCTGCATTTCTCGATCCGGTGATAATATATAATATTCTCTGGATTTCTTTCAATCAATTTCCAATAAGTCATTTCCGCCTTTGCATTATCGTTCAAAGCCATCAGGAGATCCGCTAAAAAATCCAGATAATAAATAATGTATTTATAACGAGTAAAATTTCACTCTAAACTTTAACTTTTTAGCTATCACTTTAGTCAACTTACCACGTGTCTCCATGTAAGCAACGCGATCAACAATTTGTGATGCATTTTCCTCCAGCTTACTCAGTGCTAATTCTAACTGACCAGATTCACGGAGAATCATGTTCTGATATAAAATTAGTTCACTTTGTTCGAAATCGTACTCTGGTAGCTGAAAAAATGATTAAGAAGAATGGAAAGAAATGAAAATATTTAAACATTTCAAATAATACAAAAACGCTAAAAAAATTTCCAACTTGAACTTTTTTGTGCAGTAGCACTGTCCGGAACGTTTTGCGAAGTAAATGAAAAAAAAGCATTATGTTTCAAAATTGAACTACTTGGGATTTTAATTTATATCATTTTCCCGAGAAACAATTAAATTTTCACTTTTTTGTAAATATAAATTGTCAATGGCAAGTAGGAAATAACAATAATACGAATTTAAAAAACTAGAAATGTGAGATTTAAATAACACAGTTGGATTTTGAATCAATGATAAATCCTGGAAAAGTAAAGAGACCTCAACCCTGCTGCTGTTGCAAAACTCGCTGACAATTTTTAGAGCCATATCATAGTCCTTAAGAAGATGATATGCTGTTGCATAACCAATCCATGCAATTCGTTGTTGTGGGCGCAACATAAGCAGTCGATAACGTGAATCCTTAAAAAAAATTTACGGATTTTATTTAAAAACGCTGTGGATCTTGATTTTCTATATTGTTTTTTGAATATTATGTGTTAGGGAAGAAAGTTCCCCATTGCTTACCCTTGCAATTTTCTCTCTACTTCCAATCCAATTCAAACATTACGGAACTGCAAAAGCGAAAAAAATCATGCTATATGTGATGACAATCGAAAGATCGAAAGGATCCAGGAGGAATACATGATCAGAAGCCATGGAAACAAAACTAAATATGTGTAGATAGATCAAAGACAATTACAATTTTAAATCAAATTGAGCAATATAACTGAATATATGTAACTACATAACTAATAGAAGGAATGTAGAGAGGAATGAACTGACCGATATATGACTACTGAAAAAGTAAGAGCAAAAAAAATCCAAGTTTTTAGTTTGTGATGATAAGATATAAAAAACTTACGCGATACCCGTCTAAATCTCGCATCTGAATTTGTAATAATGATAAATCCCTGAGTATTTGCATATTATCATGATCTAAGCGTAAAGCCTGCTTATATGCCTTCATCGCCTCATCGTATTTCTTTTCGCTACGCTGTACCAAGCCGAAGACATGCCAACAGACATGTGATCGAAGGTCAGCCTGTAACGAATCTCTGACCGACTGGAGACTTTAAATTTTTAGTGCAACCAAACAGAAAGTAATAAATTTGCTACTCTTTTATAATGAATAGTATGAATAACCTTTAAGCCTCGTTTCACACACTCTTGTGCTTCTTCATGTTTTCCCATGCAATTCAAAATCAAACCTTTCATCGCCAATGTTTCTAAAAACAAATAATTTAGCATCTCTTTGTCTTTGAACTTTATATTAACAAAACTTGCTAATTATAACATAAAACTAATCCAACCTCCATGTTCACTGAACTGTGGATTAGAGAGAATCATTTTCGCACACCGAAGGCCATTTTTGTATTGTTTGTGTTCGTAGTGCTTCTGCAAGAAAAAAACTTCCTTGCCAGTTCAATAATTATTTCTCTCCAAATTAAACGTTAAAAATTGCACTTAAGAAAGACATAGTTATTCTTTGAAAAAATTCCGTTTCATTCCCCAATTTTCTATTTCATCCTTGTCTTTCAGCTTTACTGTCTCATCTTCATTTCTCCTCCTAAATTTCTTCGCCTTTTTTTATTTTCTGCTTTTGTTTAGTTTAAAACAGACTTATATTCTGTATATTTTTAAAGTGAATTGTTATCATCTAGAAAATATGTGAAAATTAAAGAAAAAAACATACAACAACTTTACGGAAAAGAGTAAGCTCCTTGGAAGGTAGCGGTTGGCTGCTTGACTGTCCCGGAGGTACCATTCTAATTAGTCTTACGCTATTTCCTCAGCACGCGTACTGGTAACACCTAAAACTCGTTTCTTAAATAATTTATGAGAGATGATGATAATTAGGGCTTATGTCAGTTTATATTCATATCAGTTTATACGCAATATATAATTACACAACAAATGTCAACGAATGTAGTAGTGAGTTAAATAGTATTACATTTTTTTATAAGTAATTGGATTCTTCTGCGAAATATTTGTATATGTTCCCAGAAGAAATCCAATTACTTGTAAAAAAACACTACTAAGCATATTTAATTCATTAAATAAAGGAATTAGTCCCAATTTTAATACTTATCTTCCCACTATAATATAAATAATTATGTTTTTTTTTGTATGCTTTTTTTTCTTGTAAATTTATCCAGCAGTTTTAAATTTAAATACAAAGAAATTAGCAAAATAATCTGTCCATATTCTCCCTGAAAAAATAAACAACTTCCAGTCTAACAAGACTGAATACCATCTCTAAAAAATTACCGTGGATCTCCTCGGAACAATAACTCCAGCCTTACCTCATCCTTTGGGCCATCAACACACTATCTCAGCCCAGCTACCCCAGGCGACATATTATTCCCTGCCATATTTCAGCTCGAAATGAAAATTATAATCTCTTGCATTTTTTCTGATCCAAATCATGAATTTCGTTAGAAATTTTAGAGCTCTGGAGTGGAATGACTATCTGTGAGGATTACCGGTTTGAACAAGTTAAACTCCTAAAAAATTTTGAGCTTTGGCAAATTATCATCACAGAATTTTTATTTAAAAATTGATCACAAAATAAGCATCAGATTTTATGTGATCGAAAATTATATTTCCATACTGCACAGACAATCTTTCTCTACATATATTATTCTCTTAGTAGTATTAATTTCGCCATGATGAAAGTTACCATCACCATTATCTTCAGATTGCAATTTTGAAATTTGTTACAACTGATTTTTGAAAAATTAAAAAACGAATTGAATAAGAACTTAAAGATATAAAACTGGTGATTATAAGACGATACGGAAAGTCCGAACCTGATAAATCATCAATTTTTATTCTACTAAAGCTTGTCAGTGAATAATTTCCATAACATATTATACCTTAACCGTAATTTATTTCTATTCTAATATTAATACTTGGTATCTACTAGTATTTTTATAAAATTAAAAATTGAATTTTGGAATGAAAGACAATTTAACAATTCATCCTGCAATTTAATGATTTTTTACTGCGATTTTCTTATTTAAACATTTATGTTTCTGTTTCTGATCAAATAAATTTTGTCTTAAAGAACACATTGGCTATAATTTAATAAAACTAAACGCTTCAGCAAACATTTAACAAACAAAATTATCTAACTGTACCGATATGAATCAAATGAGCCAAAAAAACCAATTACGGTTATTATTAATAATTTTGTACCCTTGCATGTGATACTTATCGTCAAAAATTCTCTCTCTTTCATGTAAGCAAAATCAATTTTTTTCACCTCTTCCTATAAATTGTGAGTGTTTATAGGAGAGTGTCTAGAAAAATTTTTGATATGAGTATTTGGTTGTTTCACGAACAAAGATTGTTGTAATGGTTTATTCTTTGTGGAAGATTAGTGATAATATTACATGACAATATCAATAGACGAAGATTTCTCCCTGATTATTGATGACTGAAGTAATCGTTTCAAAGTTTGAATGAGATTCGATGAGTCGCAGTCCAGAAGAATATAGGCGTTGAAGCGAAGGTCAACTCTCCGCAAAAAGTCTATCGGTCAGTAATCACAGTAGCAGAAGTATGTTAGTATTCAGACTAACTCCTTCGAATAATAGATCACAATATATATATATATATATATATATATATATACTCTGTTCGTTGGGCGGTGCTCGATAAATGAGTGATAATTATTGGGTGTATGAACAAAGGATCATGGAATCATTTGATAGATGAAATGCAACAAAGGATCGTCTAGAAAGGCAATGAATAAAGCCAACAATAAATCATCATGATATACAATAGAAATGTCAGTGGTGATCATCTGGTCCTTTGAAGGTGAAGCTGGTGGCACAGAATTATTTAAAGTTAATTATTTACAGTGAATTGAGAATTGAACAAAGCATATTCTGCTATTTAACTGAGAATATTTAATACAAAGCATATCTAACACAGATTTCACAAATACAATAATGTTTTGATTACAAATATTATGAAGTTATTTCGGGTTTCTGACAGGTAGAAATAATAAAGTAGAAAAAACAATCAAAAAAGTCACTTTTAAGTCCAAACCTTTTTAGAGGAATGATCTTCGTTATCTTTTCAAAACTAGCAATAAATATTATCAATGAACAAGGAGGAATGAAAACTATATTAAGTCACAAAATTTACATAACAATTTTAAAGGAATGAAAAAGATAGAGAAAAAAGAACAGCTTCTAGATATCGATGATAAAAATCAATGTCAGCAAAAAGCTTATTTCTTTTATACAGCTTATATTTGTTTACTTATTGAGAAGATTTTCATTGTAGTATTAAACAAAAAACAAATGCTCAACTTTTTTTTGATATGTGACAATTTTCTTAGTTCGGAAGACATCTGGTTTCATACCTTAACACTTTTGTAATTACTGTACGAATAGCGAATTCGATTTTTTATACGAAGTATTTCGTCTTGCCCTTGAAATGTTGTGATTGAAAAATTCGTAAATTTCAAATTTTTGAAAAAAAATTTTGAAAAAAAAAATTATTTTTCTTTATTTTTTGCTTTTCGCAATCTTATCCCTTTGCTTCCTTTCCATTCTTTCTCTTATATGATTGAAATCTTGAAAAGAGATACGGATTAGTAAACGGTCCATTAAGCAATATTTGTAACATTTTTGATTACCATCATCCACCAATATACGTACATTTTAAATAACTGCATTTTATGATCAAGTCTCAATCTTTGGTTAATTTCCGCACTGCAAATACTATCTTATCACTATAGATGATTAAAAAATTTTAATTAACTAATACACCCAAAAAGCATACCACAAAAAACTTCGATTGCATTAGAAAATATCGGATATTTCACAAATCAGTTAAACATCATCATTTTTTCATTAATAACGGGAATTAATATAAAAACGAAGCATTAAGAAAAAATAAGACAAGTAAACAAATAAAAAAACAAATAAATAGCTCAAATTTCCTCTGACGGCAAAGTGTTTTCTTCATCATATCTCGAGTGTTTAACTTTTATGTCAAAAATCTGAAACAATATCACAGGTTTCTAATTTTTATTCACATATTCATATGTATAAATTTTGTAAGTAATTGATTATCGCCTATCACTCATAAGGGACATAAGTGATCACAGGCAATAATCAATTATCAAAACCACCGATCAAAATAAACGTAACCATAAAAGAAATCATCAAAACACCACGCTAATTAAAATTGAAGAATAAACGTACCACACACAAAAAATTAATAACCTCCAGGGTCAGACACTCAGAACGGATACTATAAATAACATCCAGACCAGTCCAATAACCCAAAATAACATAGTAAATACCAATAATCTTACGATTAACAGTATTAATAATCGATTTTACGTAAAAATTTTATCAGTAAATAATTTTCACAAAAAAGTAACTATTTATGATGCGTTCTTTTGTTGTAATTTTCTTTTCAGACATGAATAGGCAATTAATCGCATGGAAACTGCGTTCCATTGTTGCCGAGAATGGTTGCCATCTTTTGTGGCTTATGGTTTTGAATTGATTCTACTTCTGTAATATATTTTTTCCGCAAAATAACGATAAAGTAGCATGGCGATATGGCTGAAGTGCAAGGATCGTACTGGTAGTAATTATAATTGTTCGCATCTGAAATTAAACAACATTAAAACATTTTACAGAAAAGTGAGGAATTCACACTGTAAATGAGAGAAGATAATTTTCAATGAAATAAATGAATGATTTCTTAATTCATTACCTGATAAAAGTAATATATCAATAAATCGAGTATTCTTTTGAAATAACTGTTAATAAAAACCGGCAAATATACAAATACTATGTGCACACGCATTAACTGAAACAGCTTGCATTAATTCATCAATTTTGAGCACAAAAAACCAGCTAGAGCTAATGACGTTGAGCTTCAATATCACAGCCTGTGCTTTATTTTCAGCTTAGAATTTAAAGAAGATTGAAAAAGAACTTTTAACACAGCTTCTAATCGAATTATGAATTCAGTAAAATGAATCATAGTCGTGACAAAAATAATATTTGCATGATCAAACGATGAAAACTTACCAAACATTGGCAAAGTAATGAATTCAATGGAATAACTATATAAAATGAACATAGACGTTTCTGTTGCACCTTCGCAACTTGGATGGAATTAATGCCAAGCGGCTTATACCTGCTTATTTTAATCGATCCCTATAACAATAATAAAAAACCCTATTTAAAGTTATCTTTTCATCATAAATTTCAATTCCTTGCAAATGCTCGCAGAAGTAAATGATTGTTAAAGATTAAAACAAAAATATTCTTCATGCTGACTTTAAGTTACAATAAAAACTGTTTATTTTTATAGATTTTCTTAAGTTTTAAAATTTGCGAAATCTTACCATCAAAGCAATACTGAATAGTATGATAACTAATGTGATATGAGTCAGGAAATAAGACATAGGAAATTGGAATCTATCAAAAAGAAAGGTTACAAAACCACTCCAAAGAAGTATTGAGATTTGTAACGCAGCATAATACGATTTCTGACTGCTGAAAAGAACAGGATAATTTGTTATTCGAATATAGGAAATATGTGACAGTAGGAAAAATCAGATGAAAAATAAGTAACTTTCATGTCTTAATTCGATATTTTAATTGGTTTCAAAATAGCAACGATGAAAAAACCTCTAAATAAAAATGAAAATTGAAAAATAATAAAACACACTCTCACTTGTTTGCAAATTTCCTCGAGTAAAGAATAGGTTTTACATAAGGAAGATAACAAATTATAATTGCATAGAGTGATAAGGCATGAAACCAAATGCTTCCTAACTTGACGAAAAATCGAGCCCATTTTCGAACCTCAAATCTAAAAAATCTGTTTTGTCATAAAATGTTCATTACCTATTATTTTTCTGAACCGTAGAAATCTCGTTCGTTGTAATGTTATCTGAGAAGATTAATTTCCTATATATCTTTACGTGAGTGTCATTTTGAATTAGCATTTGGATAACAGTGATAAAGCGGAAAAAACAATCATTCGGAAGAATTGAAAACAAAAACTTACAAATGTAATTTGTTTTCTCTTAAAAAAATAAAGAATCCCGCAATGTTAATTGCATCAATTGTAAGAGCAGCAATAGTCGTCGTGGTACAAATGACCATTAAATTCAATGTAAAATATTTTGAAAATCCATCCTTCACTTTTACAAGTACCAAATATAGAATGAAAGGAATAATTATGAAATTACCAGTCGTTGTAAAATATGCTGTGAAGGTCCTTTTATTGTATAAAATTGCTAAATGAACTATTACCGTAATGCCATTATTTTACATGCACATGTGACTAATTCTAAAGCTGAATTTCAAGAATTAAAAATTTACAATTTTGCCCAAGAATTTGTTTGAAAATGTCAAAATAAAAATGAAATGATTTTTTATCTAATATGATAAGTTAATATTGTAAATTTAAGTATTTATACTATTGATCAGTTTCATTCTTAAAAATAAATTATATCATTGAAAAGTGGAGGGTTATGGTTTGATTTGATTTAGGAGAGCTTTGTGGCTAATCCTTTGGTGAAGGTTTCTTGGTGATTGAATTTAATTTTGAGTTGATTTTGGGTTACAGGATTGTATTTCGTTGAGGTAAGAGTTGATCGTTCTATTAGATTACAATCTGATGGGTTAGGCTTGGATTCGTTATTTAGGTCTTGGTCTAGAATATTTGTTCCAGACTCTATTGACTTTGATATGATGACTACGCTAACTGATGTAATTTATTGGATCGAATAGATATATTGACGACAATAAGTGATGTAACTGTGTGCCAAGTTACAAAATTAACAATCACCCTTGTCCAAATTTTGGGATATTTAAATGCTTAAATAGGATGTGAATTAATGGGCGTGTCATAATACAATTAGATTAGTTACAAAGATGGTTATGGAGAGGAATGATGTAAACAAAGAATGATGTTAAGGTGAATCATGAGAAAGAAATATGTGAATGAGCATCCAGGTAAAAATAATTATGGTGAGAATTTGCTAGTTACTAACAAGGAACAATGTAAAGCTCATTTACATTTCTCACAGATGGTAAATCTTCAAATCCTTATCAAATTATCAATCATGTGATTATATATTTCTTTAAAAGGAATACAATTACTTGGTTATAGTTAGGGATTAATTTCGGATTTCCGACGGCCATAATGTGCAGTAATATCACTAGAACAGTATGTACTAAAGCATTTCTCAGAATATCGTTGTCGGTATTTTCGGTTCAGACGACTGCTTCCGCAACATCTGTTCAATTTTGCAAGCTTTAGATAATTTAAAAGAAAAAAAATTGCACAATATTTCCATGAGTGGTCTTCAGGAGTCAAATGTTAATCAACTAATTAACTTTTTGCTAATGAAAAGTCAAGAAGAATAAGATCTTTCCACCAAATACATAAGCCTTCACTACAATTTGATTCTGCCTAAACAAAGTTCTCCCTTAAAAGAATCCCATAAAACAAAAACGGTTCACAACAGAACACTTATTTGAAATTTTAATACTACAATTGACGTGAAGTACGAAGATGATATGAAAAAGTAAGCCACTTTGAGTTACCTCTTCTTTTCATATATTCTTTTTTTCAAAATTATTGCAGAAATTTTTTTCAGATCTCAAATAAATTTTCAGAAAATTATAAAAAAATGGATTTGAAGTTGAAATAAATTTGAAAAATTTATGATTTGATTAAATTCCACCTTCTCCATTTTATCATGATTTAAACGTTTTTTTTTCCTCTTAATGTTATGGGAAATCTTTTTTTTCGGCTCGGAAAAGTAGATTAATATTCCAGGAAAATTCTACTTGAAAAGGTTTATTCGAAGGAAATATTGACAATTAACAACATCCAAAAATGAATACTTCGATTTCTGACTATTGATTGTAGGGAGTTAACGGAGTCGCTCTGTTCAAAGTAAGGAGTACACACCCTGGTTGGAGGGAATCCCACTTGATAACTGCATATACCTTCTATATATGGTGTTCAACGCAACTATATATGCATTCAACATCGAGAGTCATTTAGATATGTAATAAATCAATAGAAACCATGTACAAAGGATGATGCAGATAAATGAGTAGATCATGCAGAGTTACGAGAAATAATCCTGTAGTTAGACAATGTCATGTCATAAAGGGAAAGCTAAAGAAGCGATGGGAAAAAGGGATTGTTTGATTACTCGTTAGCTACACACGAAAAGAAAGCCAAAGAACATATGAGAGCGGGAAATGTTGATGAATAATAACTATGAATGACGAGTAGCACGAAATAAAAAATATCGTGAGATAAGAAATTAAATCTAGCGCTGATGAAAGATTGTGGAGAGTAACTTCTTTAGTCTAAACTGTCAGTTATATAAAATCTCTGTTCCTGTGAATAATTTTATATTACAAAATTTTGGCCTAGACACTTGATACTTTCATTGCCTGAATTTTAATGATATAAATTAAGTAGAACATAAAATTTATTTTATTCTGAACATTCATATTATGAAATGAGTGTCAAAACAGATAAATATTATACCAATATGGAGTGATGAGTGAAACACCATTTTGTATTTCGCTTTGTTTTTAAAGCACTCAGGAATCGATATGAAAACACTATTTATCATCAAATTGGGTTTTCTTTTTTATCTATTTTGATTTTCTCGCTATCATTCATGAATTATTTACTGCCTTTTTTCATTTCAATTAACTATGTTTATTACTTTGTTTTAATGTTATTATATATCATATTCGTTAATTTTGTATTACTATTCTCCATGCGCCTATTTAATGGAAATAATAATTGCAATCAACATTTAACCTTTATGATTATTGCTTTTTCGAAATAATTTAAACCGCAAAAATGTCTAATACTTACAAGTTATATGCTTCATAACGACTAAGGTTGCAATAGGAATCATCAAATTAGTAATATATTAAAATTACTCATCCAACAGAATTGACATGATTAGTAAAACAGTAGCTACTTCAATGTTGTGAGAAATTATGCGAAACTAGCCTTTAAAAAAATTTAATTTAGATATACTTCACAATTTTTCACCAAATTTGAAATGAACCGAAAAATGATTTTAGTTTGATTTTTCAGAAGCTCCAGTGATATTCTATCACGTTTAAAGTAACATATATTTATGCAATGGTTAGATAAACGGATTTTAGGGAAATTGTTACATAGCAATATTTCAGTTCACAAAATGTGCAACCACCAACTCAAAGATCCGAATTGATAAATCCTTTATTATCATGATGAGTTGTTGTAAATACCGGCAAAACTCAATTTATTAAAATTTCAACTTATTCATAAAAAATGAAATTTAAAACCCGATCACTGGTAGCAATTGCCAACCTTTCTCATATGTATAATTGTATTCATTCATAGTTCAAACAAATCAATAATTGTTTCCAAAGCAACAGCAGAATTATTTTTTTTTTTAATGAGAAGAAAAAAATTTCAGTAAATTAATGTATCATGAAAATGACAAAAGGAAAAAAAATTTTAAAGCGATTTTCTGCAACCAACTAAAACGGATTAAAATCTCTAGTTAATTGAGATGCAGCAATGTGTCATGACTGAAATTCAGAATTTTCCCCAGCATACACTGCGTAAGCAATTAGAATTCATGTTACGCTGAAGGATAAGCAAATCTCATTCAGTCTAATGGAAAATAAAATATAAACAATTGGAAGGCATCACACTTGTGCACAATTGTTCCACTGAATATGTTCTTCGTAGAATTTGATAACAAGCTGAGGACATCTTTCATTTGCAATTTTTGCAGGAACTAAATCAGCCAAATCAGTTCCTTTCCATTTAATCAGCAGCTCTAATTCCCCACTGCTATTTGTGGCACCAACAATTCGTTCTGGTTCCAAACCTAAAAACAGGCGATTGACGATTAAATAAATATGAAAATTATGGTTTTAATTTAGACAACTTTAACAGCTGATATTTAGAAATTGTGTTGTTCATATCCTCTCTAAATCTATAGGTTATTCTTAAGCATTTCATGCTAATGGAACAATAGATGAGATTGGGAAAACCAGATAGATAAAAAGATGAAATTAAAAAAGTAAGATTATTTCTATCATTACAAAGCATTCAGTGTTTACATATTTCTGAATGATTTTAGAATTCTATAATAAAAGGCATAAAAGCTAATAACGAATTTCCATTAGAATTTCCATTACCCTTTCACAGTATTAACGAACAAAGCAAAGATATGGAGACTGTTTTGGACGAGATTTATAAAACTATCAAAGCGCAGTACCTCAATATGGAAGTACTGTTAATGAATAATGAGAAAATTGCTATTTGCTGACTTAATGAATTTTTGTATCATTCATAATATTCAGTACTGAAATATCAATTAGTAGACGGCAATCTATGAGAAAGTTTTATATCTAAAGAGCCCGATAAATAAGTTTTACAGACCTCGGTCAAAGAAGCCTCGTCCCATTCTTTCAAAACACTTCGCTCGTTTTTGTTCTTTGGTTCGCTTTTCTTGAACTTCAAATGCCTATTGAGAAACTTTTGATAGCAATTAAACGCTTTCAAATTCAGTCTTTTATTTATTCATTCTCTCTGAAGATTCGGCCAAACTCATTATCGTTTCCCCCTTCTTTTTGTTTGCCTTTGTACACTAAAACAGAAATAACTTTAAAACCTGGATTAAATCCGGACAATCAAGATTTTCTTCTGGCTCCCAGGTGTTCTCCGATGACGGAAACCCTTTCCAACTCAAAAAGTACTCAGTTACTCCATTTCGAACTCGTTTGTCTATAATTTTTTCTACAACATATTCTTGATCCTGAAAAAGAATCATAGCTATGGCAAAAATATCAAAAGATAAATTATAGTGAAAATGATGGAAACAACAGAACTCAATTTTTTTTGCAATTTTTGAATCCAATTTTAATATACTATTTTTGTTGTCTAGATTCCGAAGTTATTGGAGTGTTGGAAGATTATGAGTGTTTTGAATTTTTAATCAAAGGCATTTATAATTAATCTCCAATGTTGAGTTTATTTTTGATCAACAGTTAAATGAGTTGTTATTTTGAAATCTCCTGCAGAGATCATAACGCACAGCAGAATCTAGTAATTAAGCCATGTCCCTCATCCCTACCTTTATTTTTCATTTTACCACAATTTTTCGTCATTTCTTTTATTATACCATAGTTGTTTTTTATAATTTATTGTAGATAAATTTAATCATATTTTCTGTACTCTATCTCAGATCCTTCTACTGGTAATTAATAGAAACAACTTTGATTACTGTAATTTTATAAATGTAATCCTACTTAAAAAATAGTCAGTAACAGATTCATTATTGATTAATAATTTAGAATTAATAAATGTTGTATTCATCACAGTTACGATCTGGTTACTCTAACGGTAATTTCAATTACGCTGAACAATAATAACCAAACATCTGTCATTGACAGATATTTTTTGTTTGCTCCAATTTTATTTCCCGCCCTAAAAATTTTAAATGACTTCTTTCTTTTCTTCATTTAAATTCATAAATATCTGAATTCTGGAAAGAAAGTCGAAAGAAAAAAATACTAACATATGGACAAATATGAAGCAAAGTTAATATGTGGCGAAAATTCTTAACTTCAAAAAAAGCGAATTTTGAAAAAGAACATTTTAAAAATTCTGAAGTTCAAAGATCAAAAAACAACAAAAAAAAAGCTCCAAACACAAACCCCCTGATCATCCTTCTTTTGCTTAGGCCGTTTTTGATTCATTTTAGCGGAACACTTTTGAAGTAGAACACAATAGTTGTATTTTTCAACAGTACCACAAATTTTCTTAAAAAGAAAAAAGACATGTGAATTCAAACATCGATAAACAGCTAAGCTATCAATAAGTTAATCATAAATTAAAATGAAAATTAGCATATAATATCAAAGCATTAATATTATGATCTTATGAATAATACGAAACGTATTTATTCGATCATCAATCTACAATATCTGTTTAATGGCCACTGATAAAGATGTAATATTAAAAAATCGTTCCCATGAATATCAGTTATTATTGGTCAATATTGAATGCACGACATTTCTCCTATTATAATGTACACATAGAGTATCCCGTACAGGGATTTTGATACTATGTGAATTTGTCCCTTTGTTTCGTTTGTTAATTAAATTAAGTCTTTTTGAAAATGGACAAAACTAGAAAGAATAAATGAAGCAATTTGTAAAAGGTTAGCGAAAATACAAGGAAGACACAATAGAAATTCGCATCATTTTCGTATTCCCGAAAAACATAGCAAAAATAACATTGCGTCAGCGAACAATGAGAAAAGAAGAGGGAATTGGATGAGAGAATGAAGTAATGCAACAAAGGATTAAGAAGATTGAGTGTTGAGAGAAGATGCGAAATGAAGAGGTGGAAAAGACTGATGAAATCTGAAACATAATGGATAGATTGATGCAAAGAATGAAAAAGGAAAATCTGAGCATTGGATTAATAAGAGGGAGAGAGAGAAAGAGAGGGAAATGGATAATGGAGATTCAGAGTGGGTCGGGAAACGCAATGCGATGAGATTTTCTGAGTTACGACAGTTCCTACCGTTGTTTCCTTATGTTCTGTAATTGGCGGTTCTTGATTTGATTTTTTTGGTGTTAACGTTAGTATGCGTGTTCTAACGTGTTTTTCATCCGTGGCATAAATAAAAAAGACAACCAAGAAGAAAAACAGAGTATTAACTGGCCCTTCTCCAACAACTTAAGCAAATAAAGCGTGAAACAAACGACAATATCCTACCTTATTAGAACCCAATCGACACTGATCCTCCTAAAAAATGACATCCAACAAATTCAAAAAAGCAGCAGATTGTAAAGAAAAATTGCGTACTATTTTGATTGGATTATCCGGTTGATTTGCAATAGGAAGAAGGTCCTTCCAATTATCCATTGAATCTGGGAAGTTAACATTCATATCTCATCTGGCCTTTCTTTCTACTATTTTAAACAGCGCAACACTGTTTCTTCGTAGTCATCATATTTGAGATGATCATATAGCCGTCATATAGCCACGAATCGTTTTGATCATTATCAATTCTTGTAGTACTCACAAGAGTTTACGCGGTAAACATGAAATGTGTACGAGTGGAAATGAATATTGAAAGTTCTCTTCGCCGAGATATATGTGACGTTTTAAGTAGAAGTCATATGGAGGGAAGTATGCATAAAGATGGAATTCCTCTTTTAGATTTTGTAAAAGTTATGCGTGTAAAAATACAAATCACTTTATGGTATTCATGAATCATATTTCAACCATTGTTTCGTTTTTATATAACAAGGGTGAAAAATTCTTGTGGCAGTGTATTAATATGTTATTTCAGATGCCACATGAAGATAAAGAACAAGAAGAAGAGCAAAAAGCTCGAACTGCTTATGATTTGATACGTATGCGGTTGGAAAGATTGCAGAAAAATATTGTATGTTTATTCAATTTCTGTTTGTTTCCTACCTCCAATTTACTCCATTTTCTCCACCTTCTTCCCCGATTAGTTTATTCTTTTAACACCATTTCAATATATATGATGCGCGAATACAAGAATGATGAGGAATTACAGGAAAAACCTGTTTCCATACCACAACGACGAGATGGTCGAAAGCCACGGCCGCCACCTGATTTCGTCCGTAATGTTGTTGGTTCATCAGCCGCGGCCGGGAGTGCGGAATTTCATATTTTCCGGAATAATCGAAAACGAGAAATGGATCGGTATCCTCTCTTTTTTAGGCTTAGAAGAAAATTAAAATTGCTGATATTGGCAGGTTGTTACGAAGCTTTTTTTATTTCTGATTAACTTTTCTTGGTGTTATAGACTTTTTATCCATTTGTGCATAAGATATTCGTAAAGGAAATTATTCACCAATATAACCGAAATTTACTTAATATAATGTACTGGGTTCAACAGGTTGGATTATATGCATAATAAAGCTTTACAAGAAGAGCTGGATGAGAAATTTTTGGCTGAAAAAAGAAGACGAGTGGAGGAGGAAGAAAGAAAAACAGCTAGAAAACGGTTAAAAAGGTAATAATTTCTAAAAATAATTTTCTTGGACTCTTCTGATAATTGCTTTTTGATTTTATATTTTCTCAGTAAAACTAGGCGATGATATTAGTCGTTCAATCATTCCGTTTAGTTCGTTCGTCATTTAGTCTACTTCTGAGTTAAATCGGTAAATCCTCAACTGATCAGCTGAGTAGTACTCTCCTCTCAACTCATTTGAAGCCTCTCGAGTATATATCATTGTATTTGACAGTGCATAATTTTTGCTACATTTAATAATTGTTGCTATATTCAATAATTATTACTGTATTTCCCGATTCAGATTTTATCAGTAGAAATTTTCAAACATCATGAAAAAGGAACTTGAATACGATTTTCCCACTCTATTAAAAACTTGATGACTCAGTTAAAATTTTTTATGCCATTTTCATTTTAGACAGCGTTACAAAAAAAAGATGAAAAGCCTTAAAAAGAAGAAGGAAGAGGAAGATACGGAAGATGAAACCAATGAAAATGATTTGGAGTCGAGCACAACTGTGGAAAGTATTGATGAGAAATCGGTTACAAAAGAGGAGGATAACGAAGTAGTGCAAGCTAATGGGAGTTTTGAGATACAAGAAGCTACACCAGAAAAGCAAAATGTAACAGAAGCAAAAATGGAGCAAAAAAACAAAAGCGATCCGAGCTCATCAGTAAATAATGCCCCAGAAAAACTTGTAAAGCCGAGAAAAGAGGATATGTGATGATTATTTAACTCTTTGTTTGTTATCTATTTTCTTTCCTTTGTATAAATAAATATCTATTTTACATTAATGGCATTATTGTTGCACGTTTATACTCGTATGATACAATTCCGAAATTAAGATTTGGAAAACTGTTGTGTGATTTTTCGTTGGTCCGTAATATTTGTTGTTGAGTCCAATTCATGCGGCGTTCTGTTGATTTTAAAGAATCGAAATATCCTGTAGAAACAAACTCCCGATAGTTACCTTTTTGATGTCGGACATTGTAATTGTCCTACCAGACATCTCTCGGCTGCGAGGATGATTGTCGCATAATCATTTGATTCCTAGATGATTCGTGCAGGCGATTATTTAAACCATTAAAATTCAAAAGTTAATTTGAGGATGACACCGGCCGAGTTATTGTTAAGTTTGATGAGAGGTCCAAAGGTATATGCGTATATTCGTCGGCGTGATACAATTTTCCCGAATAATTCATTGGAATATGTGAGTGAAACGATGTTAACAGTTATGAATGGATGTCGCACAGTGTGTACAGTAGTTTCACCATTTCTTCTTTTGGTATGTTGTTGGATTTAGAAAATAGTTAATTTCAAAGAGATCTGAAATTTGTAAATTTAAAAATTTAAAAGACAGTGTTGAAAAATGGTTTTGCTACCAAAAAATTTTCAATTACGTTTGAATCTGTTTTTGGGTCACTTTTTTGAAATTATTTTTGAAGAAGCATTATCTTCACGATAATTTTTTGATATTTAGTTCAAAATACTATTCGTATCTCATAGAATACCATGCTTATTTTTAATAATAATACTTCATTTCCTTGTATCGTTTCTACTCTTTTCTACTCTCTAGTTTTCATTATTTCTAATTGGCTGATTAATTCCATTGACTTAATTAGCATATTTTTCATATTAGAGGCATCTATTAAAGTTGGGTCATACAGTTCGTTTGAACTGTATGACGTTTGAACTGCCGAATACTATTCTATATTTCACTTCGTGGTAATCGCTGCTTTTTAATTTCAGATTGCTTACAATCGTTCATTATTGACTGGGAAAAATTTTATGATATTAGCAAAATTTATGGTGTCATACTATGTAATAGCGATTAGCATGAGAACTGCTGGCAGGGTATTCAATCCAGAATATCGCCAATTTGCTCACACGTTGTTTAAAGCTCACATGCATGATCGAAATGCCAGTGCATTATTGCTAAAATATGATTATGAGGTATCTATCAATTCATTAATTTTTTTATGTGTCGATCTGAAATTCGAAAATTTATTTTGCTAGAACTTTTGTGTAGTTTTGTGCCAATCAAGCTATTAAGAACTGCTGAGTATTTGAAGATTATTGATTTCAAATTGCAGTTGTGACTTCAAATTTCAGTTATTTGCGGCACCAATTGATTTTCAAGCTCTTAGAGAGCCACGAAAATATTTCGAAACGCCAGGAAGATTTACAGCTACTAGAAATGTGTTGTACACCACGTTACGAGATTGCTTATCATACAATATTGCTTATACTTTTGCACGTGTGCTTGTTTATCCTGGTTCATCAGCACTATTGAACAAACTGATTCAATCATTTCTGATCGAGAATCGACGGAAACTTGTGGTAGAAAAGGTTTGATTTCAAGTAATTTTGATTGATATAAGTTGATATTTCTTATTGACAACATGTTCTATCAGAATTCTCGGTTAATTAGTCAGTTTGCTATTCCTTACTATTCACTTAACTTCACTATAAGAATTCCAATATTTTTGAGGATTTTTTTCTTACTTTGTTGGGGTCGAACTTCTGTAATAACTGAAAATTTTCGTTAAGGGTGCTGTGCGTGGAGTTTTAATGACAAGAGAGGGTAATAAAGTGGATTCTATGTTTGTCGATCGTCGAGAACAAGGAGGAAATGGTGATATTCTAGTTGTAACGTGTGAGGGAAATGCTGGATTTTACGAAACTGGCATTATGCCTACTCCACTTGCGTTGAAATATTCTGTGCTTGGATGGAATCAACCTGGTTGATATCTTTTCTTGGTTTCAAAATTTCATTCTTGAATTTAAAAAGCAGTGACAAATGATTTAGTAGATAATAATTTAGTAATAAGTGTAATGATGAATCAAATAATATAACAAATGTAAATAATCCAATTAATACTGTCTTTACCATTATCTACACTGCATAAACGCATAAGAACTCAAAAAAACGCACATTATCAGCTCATCCGTCCCGTTTTTGATGATTCATAACTATATATATTTTGAAAATCAAAAAATTTTTTTCTTTACATGAAGTTTATGGAAATTCGGAATGAAAATGTACCAAAAGACAAAAAACCTTTCAGCATTTTTGGAATGGTAATAACATCTTTGAAATTTTTCAAAAAAGCTTCAGGATTTGGTGAAAGTGGTGGTATGCCAACACCAAAACAAATGGCTGCATCAATTGATGTCGTTATTCAGTATGCAATACATAAATTAGGTTTTGCGGAAGACCAAATTGTTATTTATGCATGGTCAATCGGTGGATTTCC